AAACGATAAGTAGAGAGTCCACTGACCCACCTCAGCAGGCCCAGCTTCGGCAGATACTGCCAGATTAGCCATCAAATTGAATTTTGGAGAATCAGTTGTAGACATTAAATACGGTTTTTCATGACCTCCCACTATCGAGGCTAACTTGGTAGCAACCTGAAAAATATCCACATATATAGCTCCAAATCTCTAGAGGTGATTTTTTCCACGAAACATTGTCCACATTAAGTGAACTGAGCTGAGCCGGCCTATCTTGTCTTCTAATGAGTGTTTTTTCGTGATAATCATCTCTCGATTATAATCGTCTGTCAGTACAACAAGGATGAGAAGGAGTTACCAATTCAAATGACTCCAGTCAAAAAAGTGCAGTACCTTTGATGTAGAGAAATTCGCATCAGCGACCATCTCACAATTTTTCCCAACCACTTGCCATGGACCTGCTCCAGGACCGAACACAAAAGACGATGGTGCTTGGCAATGCCGGCAGATTTCCTCAAGAAAATTGATATGAAAGCAAATATACTTTGAAGAGCACAGAAACTACCTGCAGATCAAACTCCTTTTCTTTATGTATGACTGGAAAAAGATTGCCTGGTCCGCCAACTTCAGCTATTACGAGTTTACGTCCAAAACCATTTGATGTCATGTTAAAAGGCGCTGCTGACAAATCTAAAATGGATCTTTTGTATAGAGATATAATAATACTCTCGACACAGTAACAAGTTTTGAGATGGAACCACAATCACAACCATACGTACCTGGACAAGTTATAACGTCCACTTCCACATTTTTGAAGTTTTTCTCCAGTGATTTCTGTATGATTGAACAGAGTTCAACATTGGTCGGTTTCAATATATCCAAGACGCTTGCTTTGGCGAACATCTGAAAATATTGAGAGAATGGATTGGAAGCACTGTGCTAGTGTGCAATAAACATCGCGACAGTGGGGTGGCGCGTCAATGCCATGACGGAATGCAAGTGATATGGATCGGCGTGAATCAACCAAATTCCGAGTGCGAAGCAAGATTCTGCTAAGATATTGATGTATGTATTCGCAGTACATATTTGCGGGCAACCATAAATTCCTGAAAGATAG